GATTGCTTTGCCCCACAAGCGCCGGGGGAATGATGACGGCGAACGAATGTCCGTGCCCCACCTGCACTTCGTCAAAACCAAGGCTCTCTGGGTGGTTAACCATCCAGACCGGACGCAAACAGGAAAAACTGTAGCGCTAACGTCATGCTGTGGGCGAACTACTGAAACAACTCTGGAGACGGAAAACGGCCGAGAGCGCTGAGCAAAAAAAAAAAAAAACCCACACATATGTACGTACACACCTGGAGAACCATCTGCCCGGCGATACGGGTGGCGATGTTCGTGTCCTGGTCAAACTCGGGGATGGCTGCCATCAGCTCGTCGACGGAGGGGATCGCGCCGTCGATGCCGTCCTGCAGCATCTTGGCCTTGTCAGGGTTTTCCTCCTTCCACTCCTTGTAGGTTGCCTGCCACTCGTCGTAGCTGCGCAACAAAATCCAAGGGACCCAGCAGGAGAAACATGATCACCAACCGCTCCTCTCGACTGAGTGCACGTGAATTGGTGCCGCATGAATTTCTGAGGTGTAGGCTTCTTTCTCCCTTCAACAAAACATGCAGAAAGGGACGACACCTGGCGTTGCGTCCAGCCAGCCAAAAACGAACCCCAAAAAATCCGCTGGTGTTAACTCATCTCCACACGTTCCGACTACCCCTAGAGGTGTGGCTCATGTGTGCCTCCATGCTTTCAGAAACACGCACGTCCATCATCAGCAAGCCACGGACCCAAACAATAACAAGCGCTACACAAATCTTTAATCTTTCGTAACCAAACCGCAAAACCCAAAACAGACACACGATCCACTCAAACGCTGCCGCGAGCGCGCAAACTTACGTCTTAGAGAGGGACGCGGCATGGTCCTTGAAGAAGGAGCGGGTGTCGTCGGACACGAACCACTTCTCCTCCGGCAGGCCGATCGACTTGCGGGCCTCGTCCGTGTACGCCACGCCGGCCTCGCCGTGCGCCGCGTTCGTGCCCGCGACGGCGTCGATGCCCTTGCCGATCACGGTCTTGCACTCGATCAGCTTGGGCTTGCCGTTCTTGGTGGACTTGGCGACGTCGAGCGCCTGATGGCGATAAACGTTGGAGTATTTCCGTTCAAGTTGGGAGGTCAAAAAGACGGATGCGGCGGAGGGTGGACCGTGGGGAGAGCTCAGTGGAGGAAGAGCGCACAAGCAACGTCCTGCCACATGGAACAGCTGCTGTTGCCACTTGAAATGATCAAAGTAGAAGTTACATACGATCGACGAGACGATTCGAGGAAACCCGGGTGCATAGAAATTTCCGAAGGACCCGTCTCCTTTCCAATCGTCAAATGCTCGTAACAGTGACGAATCGCATATATTTTCGATTGTTGGAATATTGTGCACTCTACTTCTTGGTTGCTATACTTCATGACCACGGAAGGCGTTACCGACAGGTGCGCCGGCACGAATAAGAGACGGGAAGGGCTACGAAAACCCAACACAACAACAAAAACTACAACACCTACTCGTTCCTTCCTACACGCGAGCGACAAGGTTTGGTTTTGAGCGTACCTTGGACACCGCCTCGAGGTCGTGTCCGTCCACGGTTACCACGTCCCAGCCGTACGACTTATAGCGCATGGCGGTGTCCTCGGACATGGTGAACTCGGCCATCTTGTCGAGCGTCACGTCGTTCGAGTCGTACATGATGATGAGGTTGTCTAGCTGCTCGTGCGCGGAGAAGGCAGCGGCCTCGGCTCCCACACCCTCCTGCAAAAAAAAAAAGGGTCGAGGACGCGGCATGGGTCAGAAAGATTTTCTAAACTTTCGCTTTCGTTGATGGGGCGGGGCTACGGCTGTGGCGCGCATGGTATGGGATGCGCATGATGACCGGAAACTCAACGCGCCGGTCCAGCCCGAGACCGAACAAGATCGATGCAAACAAAGTCCAAGACGTTTTCTTTCGAATGCCACGAGCGTCGACGATCGGCTGGCTCGCACAGAGAGGCCCGCACGCTTTTCGATGTACACGCGCTCAGCGGTGAACGCTGCGGTTGCGATCACCGCCAGCGTACTGTTCTGTCTGCGTGCAACAACAAACAGTCTACGCCTTTCGCCATACGGCGCGTTGGTGTGCGGCACAATCGAAGGTCCGCGTGTGAACTACAAACAGTTCCTAAATGAACCGCCAATACTTCACCCAGAACAAAAACCACAAGTCTGTTTGCCGGGTAACGGTGCAAGCGACAGCACGCAAAACATGTAGTATTCTGTACCACGATACCACAAAGGTTTGTTGTGTTTATTTATACGCAAGGCAATGTCCTCCTCTTGTTCGCGCACCTGCATGCATCCGTCACCGCACAGAGCGATGATGTGGTTACTGAAGATGGTGTGCTTGTCCGTGTTAAACTGAGCGGCGGCCATCTTGGCGGCGGCGGCCATGCCTGCCGCGTTCGCGATACCCTGTGCACCGCAAGGAGACAGATACAGAGGGCAAAGGAGGTGTTCTTAGAAAGTATACACCACCTCACCGAAAGACTACCCGTTCGAGACATAACCACAATACAAAGGGAGGTGCTCGAGTCTTTGCAGCGAATGGAGGGAAACCGGTGGGAAACTGGGCGCATTTTGAGTTGGTTTCACGACCAAAAAACAGATTGCACAAGGGACACCAGCTGGTGTACGGACTGAAGCGTCTGTATACGTTGGTAGATACATTTACAGCACAATACATCCCCCCTGTATGCATGCTTCTCTACTGGGTCAACGAAAAAATATCGGGAGAAGCCCTGTGTTATGTCGTGTGCTACAACATGTGGCCTTGACAGGGAACACGGTGCAGTGTCGTTTGGACAGCTTGCTGTTGTACCTACCATTTTGAATCGAATTTAGTCTACATGGTTAATTTGCTTTTGTAGCGATGAAAAAAAGTTGTTGGACATGTTTAGTAGCACAACTGTCAGACTACCACGTCAGCAGCATCAACAAGCTTGCCACCGCCAGCGTAACAAGGAAGTGCTACACGAAGGCAGCGCACGCACCAGCGACGAGAAACGCCTTCATATTGTTCGAACACCCCCCCCCCTCCGCAAATTTACCTGTCCGAGGGGGCCGGTGGTGGACTCGATCCCGGGGGTGGCGTGCTGCGAGCTGGGGAACTCAGGGTGACCCGGGGTCATGGAGTGGTGCTGGCGGAAGTTCTTCACTTCCTCGAGGGGGATGTCGTAGCCCGCGAGGTGCAGCCACGAGTAAATGAACATGGAGCCGTGCCCGGCCGACAGGATGAAGCGGTCGCGGTTGATCCACTTGGGGTCGCTGGGGTTGTAGCTGAGGCCGCTCTCCGTGCCGAAGAGGATGGCACCCATCTCGGCGCAGCCCAGCGGGAGGCCCAGGTGGCCCGAGTTAGCGGCGGCAATGGAGTCCATCGCGAGGCCGCGCGCCTCGTTGGCCGCCTGCGTTTTATGGTTGTTGTCATTGCCGTGGGGAAGGTTGTGTTGCGTTAGTTTCAAAGTGGGGAAAGTACAGCAGCAACACATGCGTGTGCATACGTGCGGATTATACAACTTTGCCGCCAGAGTAACATACCGAAGTACATTGTACGGTTGCGTTTCCGTGCCGCGGTGCGTGCGTGCCTGGTGCTAATGCCAAGCGGACTGCATGTCGAAAAAAAAAACAACACAAGACAAGCGACAGAGGTCAGGCTCGGTAAGAAGGGATATTGCATGCATGTTGTGGTTAGAAACATTTTGCTGGAATACTGCTACATCAATGACCGATACCAGCGCGTGCCGTTAAAAAAACCATTTAACAACGCAAAACTTGTCACCCGTCACAAGACATGTGCCGTGCAAAAACGCCACAACGCCCGCAGAGAGGGCCGCTTGGAAGCCGAGAGCAAGCGTAGAACCAGATCTCCACAAAGTACCACGTTCGGACGTGTACAACTGGGTTGCAACTTCACGCTGGATGCTGGAAAAATCTGAGTGATTTGTACAACAAGCTGACATGACATGACATGCGTGTGCGGCACGACACCAGGGGGTCAGCCGCCTAAGCACGTCACACAAAACAAACCGAATCTACGACAGAGAGCACGGAACCAGAACCGGTCAAGGATACACGGACAACGCGACGCCCATAGAAGACCGATGGTCATCAGATCCGGCGTCATGCATGGTCAAGCAAGCCCGCGACGGTCCCTCTCCTACATAGACCGAACTTCAAGACAACCGCGCACGTATTGGAGTGCGCCTCACGTACTACACACGCCACGTTTTGTGAAAAAGCGGAAATTTGGACGACGCCATCAAAACTTTTGCAGCAGAGCATGCAGCGGAGCACCCACAGCCTCACGAACTGCCTGCAACACACACACACACACGCACACGCACACGACAACCAGCCACGCCTCCTACATCTCACCGCTCACACACCAAGGAACCCAGGCCAACGCGGACCGCGCACCATCGTTACATGAGTAGAGCATGATCATCGCCATCTCTAGGCGGATAAGGCTTGGCGGGCGACGCGCATGATACCAAAACAACGCGGAGGCAAACGCATGAAGAAGCACTATAGCACAGACGCAAGACACAACGCGATGCAATCATGAGACAGGTTACGTACCCTGGTCAAGACTTCCGTCTCCACGGCAGGGGCCGCCGCCACCGCCTTGAGAACCTGCCTGGTGTGGCGGGTGCTCGCGGGCGCCGCCGCATGTGCTACCGTCTGCCCCACGAACGACTGGCGCGCGTTGAAGGAGGGCACGAAGGCCGATCCCTGGGCCACGAGGCCGAGCGTTGCGAGGGCTACACCGAACTTCATCTTCACTCTGCTTTCGTCTCCTCTGTCGTCTTAGAAGTCTAGGGTGGTGCTCTGCGGGGAAGAGCGTGCGTATGAAGGATGGATTCGGCAACAGAGGCGTTTCCCATCCGGGAACTCCTCCCCTGTCACCGTGGTAGCCAATAATCCAAGCTGACGGACCCCCGCTGCTTAGCCCGTCTTTTGCTCCGCAGCGCTTCGCTCGCGATACATCCATGTCCGTGACCCCAAAACCGCAAACGAAAGCAGTCGTAGGGTATCTCCCGAGTTCCCATGGTGTCCTCGGCTGATGTGAAGCATACAAACCCGTTGGACTTCGTATGGACGAGGTGAGCTGGACAGTTACCTGCCTTTTTTCATGAATGTTGTGCGGGGGAATTTCATTGTAAAACTTGCATGTTACTGGCTACAGCAACCCGCCGAGGAACAAACCCAAGACCGCTCTCTGTACTTCACTGCTGTACTGCTCTTCAGAGAGTTATCAACGCTGCTATTATCATAAGCGCTCTTTTCCGTTTTCGCGCTATAATGGTCGTTCGTAGTTGTCAAGAGCGCCCTTCTACACCATGGGACTCGCCCGCGGCTGGCGCATGGCTACTGTCAGCCTTCTCTGTCCATCAACCATGCACATACGATTATATTACAGGGCATCCCGGCCTGTATGCAATGCGTCATGTCGTCCCTGCCATCATTATACGTGTATTTGAGCTCAACAACAACCGGAACGAACGTGCGCTCGCCCTGCATATGGGCACGGCAGAATGGAGCTGGCGGTGGTGGAGGTGGGCTCCGAGAGACTGCGTTGTCCTTCACAGGAATCATTTCCATCATCACCTTCTGCTGCTGCTCGACGATGTCGTGTGTGGCGTTGTGCATCAAGCTCGCCAGCTGGATGTTCGGGCACCGCGGGAGGCGGCAGAGGGTTCCCTTGCTACCCCACGAGCAGCAAAACGATGGCGAGGCCGAAGAACAACTCTACTCCCCGCACCACCAACCGGTCATCATCCTGGACACCAATTCCGCAGAGAAGCGAAGCGGGTACACCCTGCACGCTTCGGAAATCGAGCTTCGACAGGTGCCTTTCGGAAACTTAGAAGCGCAACGGGAGACTAAGAACTCAGACGATGGCGACGACGACGTTGTATTTTTGACGGGAGCACAAGCAGACCCCAACAAGATTCGGAAGCAGCAGCACCTCAAGGGCAGCGCCTCACAGATGGAGCGTGATACGACGACGGGTACGTCGATCATGACGAGGGCTGGAACACCGTCGACGAACGGCGAACAGGAAGATAGCAGTGATTTTGGCGAAGAAGCAGACCAGGTGGTGGATGAGGAGGAGGAAGATGAGGAGGACGAGAAGGAGAGGCAGAAGGAGAAAGATACCGAGCGCGGCGGGAAGACAACAAAATAGAGGTGAATTAATTGCATTTGCACAACTCAGCAGACAGCGTGGCGGGTCTCGCGCTTCTCGACTGAGTGTTTTACGAAGAACGGACGAGACGGCTGCTGTGCGGACGTATCTTGAACAGCGAGGAGAACGTCTACGAAGTTGTCTAAGCCATCAACATACTTTTGTTCAGGAGGAAACGTATAAGTACGCTCCGTGGATCGGTTCGATCGGTTCGACCTCTGTTAATCGAAGCTTCGCTGACCGGAGAGTCCGTACGGTTTTCTGCTCGTGTCGGGGTAATTCACATCCAGGTTTTCGTTGTACAAATACCTCGCTCTTTGTTGTCTGTCCTGAGATGTCGCAAGAGACGTCTGTTATTTTCTCAGCGATTGCGGTAGGAAACAATTCTTGTAAATATTTACTTTTTTTTTTGTGGATGGATGGATGATTTTTTGATCGGAAGACGTGGCCATGAGAGCCTCCTGGAACGTGTTTGCAATTTCGAGGGGCATCAACGTGCAGCTTTCGAGCCCAGCGTCGGCTTGATCGAGGAAAAACGGGGACGCGGTTGCGGGGCAGCGATGAGCCTATCGGGGGTGCACGTGTCGGTGTGTTCTGCTGTGTTGGTATCAGATGTGTCAATTTAGACAAGTTGGGTGTCCTTGGCGTAGACCGCCGTTATTGTGTTGTTTTGGCCGATCTACTTTACGTTGCAGCTGACGGCACCGCTAGAAGTACCAAAAGGGTGTGGTGGAGCCTCAAGCTAGGAACATAAGATTGTCAACGAGCTTGTGCCGATACGTCTGCAGATTGTCGTTGAGGTGGCGCCTAGTTGCGTATGCAGCAGCCTGAATTTAGTAAACGTTTTGAGAATTTGAAAATATATGCAGACGGCGATTCTAAGCGAGGGTGCGACGGTGCAGTCGAATAACTACGCAGGTGGAGAGAGTGCACGACGCGGATGGAGAGAGTGCATCGCTGGAATCTAGTTTACTGCCTTCTTCTTTAGGCTTGGTGTATTGTAATTCTGTTGTGCACGTTTTTTTTTACACGGTGGTATTGGCTATTGCAAAGGCAGTGATAATTGCACTAGTGGTGCGCACCTCTTCACCCTTAATGAAAGACGCTTCCCGCGGGTTGCAGTTAGTTAGAGACATTGCTCAATTCTGCGGCACGAGGGCTGAATCGCACAGCATAGTACCTGGTACGGGGTACAGGCCATGCTGCTGTCGGGATACTTCAGGGAGACGTGGCCCCGATCCAAATGGACAGTGATCGATCGATTGATACATTGTGCGGGCATGCCTATCACCAATAGATTGGTCGCACGATACATAGTGTCCTGATGAGACTTTACGACTCGATTGAAAAATTGGCGCGAGAGTTTTGCAGAGGGCACGAGACATCCCGCTTGCGTAGGCCTTGTCGTAGATGATATACCCCGTTGCGCAGCCGTATGCCCTCTAGGGAGAAGCCCCCCCCCCCTGGTACGCGCAAAAAGCCCGGTCTTTCCGAAAGAAAGGCGATCTGCAAGGCAAGTAAAAAGGTAGAAGGTCTTTGACTCGCCATATGCATATGTTCGGCCAAAGAAGAGTGAACAATCTCTCCACCGCTTGTCGCAACAGCATCAACTACTGCTGTTCTCGCAACATTGCTTTCTTTTTTTCTTTCAGCTTGTTGGAGAAGTGAACACCGCGTTACCTCGTTAGCACCTTGTTACCAGTAGTCCTGACCCCTCCCAGCAATCTGCGCACATTGTTCCAAGTAGGAAAACATACTGCATACAGAATAGAATCCGCCAAGTTGGGGTTGAGGCTACACTTGCCCAAGAAGGCAGAGTTCGGGGATAAATACAAAGTTACCGTGCGAGTCTACAGCAGTATACATCATAGAAGTGGCATTCCCTCGGTTTTTTTCTGCTCGTGTGGTGGAGAATCCCTGTGTGGACCATGTCAGCCCCTCTTCCTATCCCCAGATCCCTTCTGCCTCCCTCTTCGACCACCACTTGTTCTGCTGTGGGGCAAGTGAGATTTGAAAATCGGTTCAGGGGGTGTGGTATCTTGTGTCGCCTCCAGAAGTAGCCCCCTGACAACCATCCCACAGGTACGTCCTGTATGTCGCGCCCCCCCCAACCCAGAGCTAGCTCTGCTGTGTCTCGTGTCTACGGACCCCTATCCATTGCTCTCCCCCGATTGCCAGTACATCATCAACTCCAGTTTCTGTGGCCTTCATTGGTAAACGCTTGGGGAGTGCTGCCTGCGGTTGGTTGTCAGTTTGCTTGCGAGCTGCAGTGTACCGCTGTGTGGGAGGTGATAGCTGACAGCAGCAGTACCCCGCGAGCTGCCAAGCCATGTCGGTGCAGGCAACGGTGGAACAGCAGGTTGCCCAGGTATTTCACGGAAGTCCCACACCATGAGCACTTGTTGTGCCCATAACATTCAGAGCTGCCTCGTGTCCCCCCTTGTGTGTGTGTTTACCAATAGCGGCAACTTGTTGCTCAATAATTCAACCGAGAAATTTGTACGGCTGCGAAGCAGACTTGACGCCCTCACGGGTTTTGAAATGCAGTGAAGGAGCGAGCGAGAGACAAGAGAGTGCGGGGAGAGAGCCCAGCATTTCCGACGGGACGCAATAAGCGACGGTATACCTACCTTCGCTTGCTCTGTGCTTGCATAGACTGCGCCTTTTCAATCGTACGTCTGACTCGCTATGTACAACTGCTGTCGCGCGACGGCTGTACGATACTTGCAGCTGGGAACGAACCCGGCCATGCTGGAGCAGCTTCTGATGGAGATGTTTGTGCCAGACACCGCTCAGGTGCGTCGGTCCTCTGTGTGTCCTCCAGGGCGCGAAGCAGGGAAGAATCGCGATTGCCAGTGTCTTTGGCGAGGTTTACAACTGGCACAGCAGCCACAATGGAAAACGGGGGGGGGCATGAACGAAAATCCTGCTGTTTGTTACACGCGCGGCGCTGGGTCATGGGTGTTAGGTTCCACCGCTTTTTTGTGCACCTGGTGCTCACCATCTCACCACCACCAATGACAGCAGTGTCGCGAACAGCACCTGCTGTGTACACGTCAGCGACGTCACCACAACACCCAGGCAACGGATAGGCAACCTTAGGTTTATGCTTGTTCATTCTTGCGTGTCGAAAAGGTCGCGGAGTGTTGTAGTACATCGTAGAATAGGTGTGCACCCTGTGAAATTCCGACGGTGAAACGTGGGTGCTTCTCGTCGTTTTGAAGGCGGCTGGCCAAGAACATTCGTCAGTCTGAAAAGTAGGACAATAGACTAAATACATAAATACCGTGTGTTTGTGTGGGTAGGTGTTGTTTTGGATGGAAGGGGGGCAGGGGCGTCAAATTTGGATTTTTTTCGGTCTCGGCGAACCATGTCGACGCTCAGCTTCTTCTTGTTCCACGGCGATATTTTTACCTCGTGGCGTCACTCTCTTGGTAGCTAGGTATGTGCATCCATGCGCCTCCCCCGATCGCCCAAAACCAAAGCCGTACGCGACTTTGCAGCGTTAGATTTTGCTACGTTGGTCGGGGGCGTTCATCCGGTTGATGGCATACCTGCGGGTGCTTGCTGCTGGTAGCATGTCGAACTGGCCGTGTGCATATTCCGGGCCGCTACAACACCGGTCGCCCCGGTGGTCTAGTGGGTAGCCTCGCAGCCTGCCAAGGGCCAGGTCATGGGTTCGAGTCCCGGCAGAGCGGTTTTTTTCTCGCTAGTTGAATCCTGGTCTCCGTTGGAAGCGACGCGCTGCAAAGCTCGTTGTTAGTAAACTTGATCGACTTCGTAAGTCGCGAGGGAAGGGATTGCTGTACCCTTCTCGCGATGAAAGTATCTCAGGCAGGAATCGCAGGTGGGGGTCCAACCCCCCCCTCCTATGTGACCACGGTTGGGTCGTCTAGCTAGTAGAAGTGGAGGATAGGGGCCAGAGGGGCAGGTGACAGAGTCCAATGATGGGAGAAAAAAAAAACGCACAAAAGGGTGTACCTTTAACCCATGTGTAGGTTTCGTACATTGAAAACATTTGGCGTGGCAGGCGTTGAGCTGAAGACACGAAATGCTTCCCTATTGTATTCGCGGGAACAGTCATCCACACGTGTGAGGAGGGCCCGCACGCTGCTGCCATGAGCCAACGATCAACTTTGTTCACAGTAGCACCATGACGCCCTTGTCATGGACAAAGAGGCCCTTCGCATCCATCCTCCGCACACCCGGGCGTGTTGCCCCAAGTACTCCGGGTCGGCGTCGGCCTGGGGCACGAAAGTAAAGTCCCGTCGGCCTCACCCACGCCCCACGCCCCCGTTTCCGCTTTCGCAGATCAAGAGGGCGGAAGGCCTGCTGAAGAAGTACACGAAGGAGCCGGTCTGCGTGCCCCCGTTGCTGCAGCAGATGCGCTCCTCCCAGCACGAGCAGGCCAGGCAGCTGGCGGCGATGCTCCTCAAGAAGAAGATTGTCCAACATTGGAAGACCTTCAATGACGCGGAGAAGGTGTGTGTGTGTGTGTGTATGTGTCTTGTGTATGCAAGAACTTGCGAGGGAAGGAGGACCAGAGAGAGGAAGAGAGAGATACGGAGGGAGGTAAGGGGGGCGAGGGGATAGCCGGACGGAGTGGACAAAAGCGTTTCGTGGAAGACGGGTGCATTGCGGTAGCGCAGAGTTGGCTAGTCTACTGGTGCTGGCGCTTGCTCTCGAGGTCAGTTCCAGATACGATACGCACCTGTCGGCCTGTCGGTGTGTACAGTGAAGCGAACCTGAAGAAGGAAGTACGCACGCCACGGGCTGCTGGCCTTTTTCTCGTAAGACTTTCTTCGGCTACATTCGGTTTGTGTGCTCCCTGAGTGGGATTGCATGCCACCCTCCCACTCCTAGTCAGAGCTGGTTGTAGGTGTGTAGTGTGCCAGTTGCATGCAATTTACTCGCAAGGGTAAATAAATTCAACGATGCCTCGATTCCGTGACGAACTCCTTCGCCCTCGAACGCCTTCTCCTCAATGTAGAAACCCTCTTCCCATTGGACCTTGCTGCTCTCTGTCGTTTACAATTTACCAGGAAAGCGTCAAGAGTGTGCTCCTGCAGGCGGTGGGCACAGACCCTTCGCGATTGGTCCGAATCTCCGTAGCTTCGCTGATCGCGAAGCTCGCCAAGACGCTGTTCGCGACCCCTCAGGGGTGGCAAGAGGTAAAGCGCTGTTTTATTATCTGCTGCTGCTGCTGCTGCTGCTGCTGCGAGGCAGTTTCTTTTTCTAAACTCGAGTTCTCCCTTGAAGCAGATTGGCGCAGGAACGGTTGGTTGTTGTCGCGCTAGACTGTCTCATTCTCCCACTGCTTGCTGTGAGCCTTGATATAATACGATCAGCAATAGTTCCATCGCCCGCGGCTCATCTACCCGAAGTCTGCCACTGCCACGTACGATGGCCCGTCCACGGAGCGCACTATGGGATTTGCGTGAAAACCGGACCCGGTGGATGTTTCTCAGAGGCACCGTCGAGAGTCAAATAGTTGTCCACCCCCGCCTCGGTGGGCGTGGGATTGGGAGGCTTGCGATTCCGCTCGCCAGAGTAGGGGGGCTTGCCGACCACCCGCTCTGCCTGGCGCCCCCCCCCCTACTTCACCGTGCCCCCCCTCCCCTTGCGTCACACGCACCCAACCCCCGCGTCGCATGGTACCGCTTGGCCGGCTTGCTGCCCAACATGAATAAAATCATGGCCGACGGACCCCTTTCGCGAGAGCAGCTCTTGGATCTGGTGGGGCAGTGCGCGCAGCACGCCCAGTCGGAGGACCACCGGGAGCTCGCGTTCGTGATTTTGTTCGAGCTGACGGAGACAGTGGGTGACGTGCTGACTGCGCAATTCGACGTTCTCCAGGGGCTCTTTCTGCAGGCCCTCCAGGACCCCAGGTGCGTTTCGTCGACCTTCACATCCCTCATGGGGTCGAGGAAAATTGAGGGAGAGGGGAGATGAATTAAGAGCCGTTACGTGGCAGGCGGATGCTTTAGCAGTAACGCAGAGGTGGCTGATTTAGGTACTGGTGCCGACTCTCGAGGTTGCAAGTAAGGAGACGCACCTGTTGGTGTGATGCCCACGTTCCGTCGGCATACGAGATGCAGAACTTTTGCCGCAACCGGAAGTCTTGCCGCACTCGAAGCGGTTTCTGCTCTCTTTTGGTGTGGTGAATGGACAGCAGTGGCCGTGTTGTTTCGCCGTCCCGCTCGATCCGCGGCTTTTGTGTGTGTTTGCGTGTTTTCTCGCTCTTCTTCTTTTCGATGTGTGCGTGCTTGTCGTCGTTTTCATTTTTTGGGTGGAACGACGTACCATCTTTTCGCGGGACGATATCGAGAACATGTTGTCAGCTTGATTAGGAAGCGAACGGCGTTGGGAGCAACACGCCGAAGACGAAGCAGAGGGTTGTCGTTAGCCCAGCGCGCAAGCGGGTGGCATGCTCTTGTAGGTTGGCACGAGCTACCGGTGATGGCGTAAGCAGTTTCTTCCTCACCCCGCCGCCCCCACCCCGTTTCCTTGCTGCATGCAAGCGCTTGCGATACTCTTTGCCGAGCCCCACGAAGAGGATAGTTTGAGAAATGGCGCGGTCTTGCCCCCCCCCTCCTCTCCTCCCCATCCCAGCCTCGTAACCGCACTCGTGCCCCGCGTTTGCTTTAAATCCTGGTGTCGCATTCGTCTGCTTTGGTCTACGTGGCTCGTATTCCTGGTTTCAGTCCGAAGGTGCAGGTCTCAGCGCTGAAGGCGTGCTCGGCTCTACTAGCGTACCTGTCCATGGATGACGCGGGCATGAAGTTTCGCTCTCTCGTACAGCCCTGCCTGCAGGTTGGTTTCGGTTTCGGCGGTTCTTGGCACTCGCTAGTGTAGTGTTCAATCGCTGTACGTTCGCGTTGTCTCCCGTGTGCTTGACGGGGGTCATGTTTGCTACGTTTGGCCTCCACGCTTTCCCCCAAGTTCCATCGCGGTGAAACCATCGATGTGTTGATTTTTGTTTTGTTCCCATCCGGGTTGGAACGAAATGTTACCGGTGGTGGTCTGCTATCCTGCATTACAAGAACGTTGATCTACACCGCTCGCCTTATCCCCATGTTTCGGGCGCCCGAGTGGCCTTGGACGTACCCGTGTGGTTATCGATCGGCCAGCCTCTGTGTCGTGTCTAGAGTCCAACACCCAGCGAGCGACCCCCCCCCACCCTGCCATCGTTTTCCTCCACATGCGGTCGCCTCCCCAGCCCTGTCCATTCTGTCTTAGTCCGTTGCACGATGCTCCGACTGCTTTCCCGCTCGGTGCTCTCCCCAGCAACCCTGTACTCTCTCACCCCACTTTTTTCGTTTTTTCGTTTTTATCCAGGTGGCGAAAGGGTGCTTGCTGAGGGGGGACGATCAGACGGTGGCGGTAACTCTCGAGGTTTTCGCGGACCTGTGCAGCGTGAGTCGTGAACGTCTGTCTCTTTCTGTCCAATCTCCCGCACCGCGTTGCTCTCCCTTCCTCCCCTCTCCTCCCCTCTCCTCTCCTCTCCTCCCTCCCTCCTTCCCTCTCTCCCTCCCCGAACATTTCTTGTGCTTCGGTGGGACAAGTTGTCGTCCCCGTACAGAAGCGGGTTGGAAGCGGGTTGCGGCCGCATGTTTTTCGGTTCGGCACCCGGTCTTTCTTGTCGTCGTTTCGAAATCACTTTCTGTGCGCGAGTCACTTCCGCCACCGACTGGCCCTGCGTTGCTGAGGAGGGCGATGGCTTGTTGAGTCTTATGGTGTCCGCGCGCGCGTGGTTGTTAGGATCGCTGACACTGCCTCCGTGTCCCGCTCAGATCGCTCACATGAACGACACTCCCCGTTTTTCGTGGTGTTGTTATTTTTCGGGTTTTCTTTTGGATGCATCATCATCGTTGCTTTTTTCTTTGTGTGTAAGTTTGTATTTACTCAAATGCCATACACGCACAATGGCTGAATAAACCACTGAACCTCTCGACGCCACTGGCCGGCCGCCCTCGCGTTCACTTTCTCTGCTGCCGTCATCACAGAGCCCTCTGCCGCTGGTCAACGCGCACGCTGATGAGATTATTGACTTCCTGCTGCATATTCTTGGGGACGCGGAAACGGATGTGAACCTGAAGGATTCTTCGGCGCTGGTGAGAAGTACTTTTTTATTTGTAATCGCGAGCGGCCAGGGTTGTTTTTGGCCTTGTTAGTATTTCTTTGGTTTGTTATTCTTGGTTTGTTTTGCCCGTGGATCCTTTTTTTTTGCTGATCTCCTCCGCTCCAACCCCTGTGGGGGACCCCGCGGATTGGATATGAGGACAGACGTAACAAAGTTAGTCGTCACTACCAACCGTTTAGCAAGGTCGATCCTGCGAACTACCTTCTTCAAGACCACACACGCGCGCGCGCGCGCGCTCGCGCCTACACTACGTTCTTTCGCAGGTCCTGACGCAGCTGGCCGAGGCGAAGCCTAAGCTGGTCGTCAAGACCAACAAGGTGCCGCAGATCCTCCAGGTGTTGATGAATCTCATCGCCAAGTACAAGGGCTCCGCGGCGAACTCGTTGTTCAACTACCAGGCGCTGGACGACGACGACGACGACGACGACGACTACGACGGGTCAGTCTGTTACTTTGTTTGCTCTCTATTATAGTGTTTACTGCTCGGCTGGTGGTGTAAGGCGTTGGTTTTCCTGTGTGGGCTTTTAGGGTAACCTACGGGGTTTGTATACTGTCACCCTTTTTGCTTGGGGGGGGTTGAGGCGTTTGTAGGCGGGGGGAGGGGTGGGAAGGGGGGGGTGTTATTGCAGCCGCATTTGCGTCTCACAAGCTTGTGCAGTGGCACCGCCCTCGCCCTTCCCGGGCCGGTGATGACGCTACACAGCAGATGATATGATTGCACCAAGTCTTGCTGTTCCTGTTGCCTCTCTTAATTCTGTACTCTCTCTCTTTCTCTCTCTCTCTGTCTCTCCGTGATGTGCATCCCTCCGTCCGTCCGTCGGTCCGCCGTCGTCCCGGACCTGCCTGCCAATCTTCCAATCTTTTGCTTCCCTTGTCCCTCTCTTTTCCTCCTTTTTTGGCTCGTTTCGTTTTTGTCTCCCCCTTCACCCTTGGTGGTCACCCTTGGTGGTCACCCTTGGTGGTCACCCTTGGTGGCACCGGCACGACAATACAACAGCCCAAATCCCCAGTCGATCGCGCAAGCCTGCCTGGACTCGATGGCCCTCCAGCTGCCTACCAAACACACGTTCGCTCCGCTCATGGACCTGTGCAACTCGTTCCTCGGAAGCCCCGAGCCGCATATGCGCAAGGCGGCCGTGGCGTCACTTGGGGTGATGTCGGAGGGGTGCGCCGAGCCCATCAAGGCGCGCCTACCGGACATCCTGCCCAAGATCCTTCAGGTCTGTTGTGTGTGGGGGGCATGGTCTCAACTTTTTTTTTTCTGTAATACACAACGAATTATTCTCTTCCGCGGACGATAGCCCGGAATCGATCGGCATCGGATTCATAGCGGTGCGTGATTACCAACCCTGTGTTTCTGTGTTTCTGCGATCCTTTTGTTTTGTATCTTCATGGATAGTTTAGAAGGTGTACCTGGCTGATTGACTGGCTAGAGGGGACACGGGTCTGCCCCGAGGGGCGCTGTTTTTCTGTCCGGTTTGTTCGAGAGGGCAGGTAGGGCAAGGTTTATTTGCAGGACTGTCCCTCTGGTTTGTTGAGGTCGAAAGGTTGTGTGCCGTTCGCATAGATAAGATTCAACTCAGAGAGCACAAATGCAAACCGACCCATATAAACAGAAGCCACATGAGAGGCGAGGGGCAGAGGGAAGAGAGTTGTGCGTCTGATGTTCCAAGTGCAGACCGTTTTTTTTTTGTGGTGAAGTCGTTTTTCTATGTCGGGTTGCGAGCGTCCGGCGGGACTGCTGCTCGTGGTGTGTAGAACGTTGGTATTGTTTGTGAGGCACGGTTGTTGTCCGGTAGGCGGTAAGTAGCCGGAGCCCCAAGTTTGCCTGCCAGCCGGCCGGCCCTACGTCTCCCGCTTGCTCTAGCCCCCGATTTTCACGCGACAGCTGAAGCGTTATCGGCTGTCCGCCCGGTTTCTGTTCCGCCACCATCGTCCCTTCTCCCTCTGCTTGGCACGTCCGGTGCTCATGAAACGGCTCTGTCTACCTCTACCGTCACCATCTTTTCCAATCGACACTGTTCGTACTGTTGTGGTGCTGGATCGCGGCTTGTTTCGACTGCTGGTGTACGGTGATGGCGTCCGCGCGAACGAACGCGGGCAGCTGGCGCTGGACGAGAGCCCCCACATCCGCGAGTGCTCGTGCTTCTGCCTGGGCCAGTTCGCGGAGCACTGCCAGCCCGAGATCTTGGACCACGCGGAGGAGGTGCTGCCGATCGTGTTTCGCCTGCTCGACGACGCCACCGACAACGTCAAGGTGCGCGATCCATTGGTGGGGAAGAGGAAGGTCTTGAGGTTTGCAAGTATGAAGGCGGATTCTGTTCGGTCTGTGCCATGATGGGCCTGAGCGAGGAAGGTTGCAAGTAAACGGCGGCTGGTGTTCGGGCTGTGCGGTGGCGGAATTGAGGGAGGGAGGTTGCAAGCAGATGCCTTGTGTGTTGCAGCTGCTGTTGTGCGTGTGCATACGACGGCGAAGATGCGCTTGGGAGAGCGGAGCGATGGTTGACGTGCGTATGTGTAACTGCCGTCACGCCGGACGCCGACGTTTTCGACGCAGGCAACATAAGATGTCGAGACGACAGCCAGCCTCCTTTTACAGTTACTCCGCGCTGGCAGGTCCAACGAGATCCGTAGTCCGGTTCCCCCTTCTAAGCCCTGGCGCTACTCGCATACGGCTGAAACAACGGAACAAGGGTGAATGACAGCAGCGGCACGCGCGTCTCGTGAGGAAGACACATACCGTAACTCCGGAAAAACTTATTGGCAAGACTGCTGCAAAACCACACACAACGGCAACACAAGACATTTTTCCCGCCCACAACGTCTGCAGGTGTCCTGTGACCACGAAAGGCAATCTGCGTCATTTTGAACCGGTACGGATATTTGAAGGTACTCACGAGAGACTGGAATGATATTTAATGTGTGAAGACAACAGCGCTAACAACAACTACTACGTCTTCTCTTGCGCGCCGCAGGGCGTGTCCTGCTACGTGCTGGAGATGTTTACGGAGAACTTGGAGCCGGAGACCGTGATGCCCTTCCTGGAGCCGCTCATGACTCGCCTCGTGCAGATGCTGCAGACGCCCAAGAGGGGCGTGAAGGTGAGTTCGGTGGCAAAAATTGCGCGTTCTCCGTGTTTCATTGCGCGTACTGCTGCTGTACCGTATTGTTGGGGTTGTTGTGCTTAAGCCTATGGTGAGCACGTGCTCGAGAGGGAGATCGGGAGGATGCATGGTGTTACTCGTCGTCCATTGTTCCTTGCGTTGTACTCTCAAGGGTACAAGTATATTGTTTTGTGGTTCTGGTGTGGTGGTAGGTCCCCCCTCTCTCGGCCCGCGTTGAAGAACGTCTCTATTGTAGTTGAGTTGAGTAGAGGGCTCGATGCATGGACGGCGGCCTTCACGTGGAGAGATCAACCTGGCAGGATCGGTGTCTCTGTCGATGTTTCTATGCATCTCTATCGCTTACAATAGTGAATGTTTGTTTGTACACCAACGACTGCTGTATCGTCCTCGCGTTCTTCGAACCTTAACCCCGTTGTTGTGTCTCTGTGATGCATGTGGTCCTCTTGGTTGTTGTTGCTGCAGGAGATGTCCGTTGCTGCGATCGCGGCCACCGCGGTGTCTGCGGGACAGAGCTTTCTACCCTACATGGCGCCGACTTGCGCCGTGCTCGGACCGTTCATGACGTTGCAAGAGGAGAAAATGCTAAGCGTGCGTGGAACCTTCCATATTTTTCTTTCAAGTCCTCAGTATTTTGCCCAAGGGTTGTCGTCGACTGGGAGCGCACCCCGATTTCAATCTAATCGTTTTGCACAGGGTAGCCTTCTTACCTTGGACCCCCAGCGGTTACCAGTCGACGGCTGCGTGTGTTCATTTTGAGCGCCCTCACTCCAAGGCTGAATGGCCTCGGAGTTATGAAGTGCTGTTGTCTGGACCGTGCGGTGCTCGATTTGTTCTTGATTTACTGAGCTTGACGCCGCATCATTTACATAGTACACCAGGCACAGAGTGTGTGTGTGTGCATCATGGCCGCAAGGGCAGTGCGTTCACACGCTACCCACGAATAGCGCCTCTTCATTGGTAACCGGTTTGCGCGGTCGATGCTTGTTGATGACACACGCACATCCCCCGACCCCGCTGTTTCCGACTTGCATGGCGAATAACAGCTCCGAGGCAGAGCGTTGGAGTGCATGGGGCACGTGGCCATCGCCGTGGGAAAGGAGAACTTCAAGCCCTACGTCGAGCCCTGCATTGCGTGAGTCCGCCTAGACATGATAGGAGCACCACGCCGCCTAAACCTGGCGAAGGTACATGTGGGGAGTTCATGAGAGGGAGGGGATATTGCTCACGGCTAGTATAGCAGCATCAGCCCGGTGTCAGCTCCGCGCACTAGTGGCAAAAGGTAGCTGTTTGGTATAGAATCCCAACGAGAGGGTTATCAGCAGCGACGCCACAGGGTCGGGGGATGGCATGAATGAAGTCCTTACTGCTGTTGGGGGTAGAGGAGGTGGATGTTTGGGTGTTGGACGAGAAGTGCCGAGAGTGGTGCAGCTTTGTCCACCAATGCTGTACTCTGCGCTTGCACAGGCGGTCATGGGCTGCCTCCCCCTTGGCCCACCTCTTGTCCCTGCCTACCCGCCTCCTCTCGTCATGTTCATGCCGCCACTTTCAGTCTCGTTGATTGTTCGCGCGCGCTGTGCGGTCGGCTGCGTTATCTTTGTGCGTGTGGCAACGTGACTGCTTGTCAACGTGTTCTGATCGTTTTTGTTTTTTGGTCTGTTTCTTCGGATCGCTTCCCGCGACCTCAAACGAAACAACGACGGTATCGGCACGTGCGTTGGACAGCCAAGCCGAGCAGGGTCTGCAGTTCAACTGCACCGAGCTTCACGAGTACAGCTACACGTTCTTCGCGAACCTGGCCAAGGTCCTGGAGGAGGACATGAGCGTCCACGTCGCCAGGCTGGCGCCGCACCTGCTCAAGGAGATTCAGGTCGGTGGGGGTTGTGCTTCTGTCGTCTCGCTGGATGTTCCTGCCACTGTTGCGGCTGCTGCTGCCGCTGCTGCTGCTGCTGCTGCTGCTGCTGCTGCTGCTGCTGCTGTCATCGCATTTCGTGAACTGTTGTTGCTTGTGTACGTTTCTATTTATGCTGTTTCGATATGTTGTCGTTGTTGTGGAGTGCTGTTGCTGGCATTGACGACCGTGGTACGTTTGATAGAAAACCGTGTGAGCGTATGGGTCGCTCAAGTGTCAAGGAGATAACCCCCTTTGTCGAAAGGTTTTCACGACCGGAGCGTTCCCAGTACGGTATGACTTTGTTCTGTGGTACGCATGTGGTTATTCGGTTGCATTTTTGTGTCGACTTGTTTCTTTTGTTGTTCTCACCTTCACTTTGGGTGTCAGTGCGTGTGCTGAACTTACGTTGTACCCACCATATCTGTTGTGTCATGTCATTCTATGTGATATCAGGAATCCGACGGTACCGGTCTGGACGATATGGGGTCGGATGACGACGAAGATGACGCTTTCGTAGACGCGGACGACGACGACGGGGAGGTATGTGTGTGTGTATTTTTTATCAGCATGGACCGCGCTAACCCGCTGACCAATGAAAGACGCCAGGCTCAGTGTGGCTAACGACAGAAAATTCTTCGGAAGGCAGTGATCTGGGACCCCGTGAGGGGCGTCATGGGGGATGTGTGTATATGCGCAGGTCGGGTCATGAAATAGGGAGAAGGAGGACAGAGAGGTAGGCACGTCAGGTCCGTCGGGAGGTGAGAGTGAGAAGAGAGAGGACCGTCAGAGGGAAGCAGAGAGGACGGGGATTTTGCGTGTTCAGCAGGTAGGGAGGAGCGAGAGGTATGGTAGGTCAGAGATTTGGAGGGAGGGACTCGATTAAATCGCCCAAGCCCGTGGCTCCCGAGAGGTGCGTGGGTTGATAGGCCGTGAGGGAGGAGCTCGGTTAAAGTCAAGGAGTCAACGGCAGTAGAAGCGGGAAGAAAGATGTCGAGCAGCCTGCCGGTACCAAGACAGCACCGAAACGCATATTTTTAATATTTTGACGTCGGTTTCATGAGTGATGACACTCCGAAAATGGTTGTTTTGTTGCCCCTTTTAGACCAAACCAAAATCAAGCCAGGCCAAGGGTACCCACGTCTTGCTTGCCCGCAGAGACACAACATTCCACGCACGCAGCACTATCTCGCACACACCATACTACAAGCGCTTCCGTTTTGTATTTCGCCAGGTGATTTTTGGACATTCGTGATTTTCGAACCCCCCAAAATTCCTTCTGGTACACGTTTTCCCGTGCTGTACTCTGGCCCCCCCAACCAAACTCGCAGGAGTTCACGGGGGCGTACTCAAACATCCGAACGTCGGTTTTGGACAAGAAGAAGGCGGCACTGGTCGCCCTCGGATCCTTGGCTGAGCACGCACCCCTGGCCTTCTACCCCAACCTGCCTCTGGCTATGGAGACCCTGGACAATCAGGTTCGAACACTTTGTTTTCTTTTGTTCATTGTTGTTCTTTCTTGTTCCTTTTATAACAGATAAGTCGTGACGACGAGGAAAGCGAAGTAGCGTCTATGTAGCCCGTGTGTCGACCGTCCCCTGTCCCCCCTGTCCCCCCCCC